CAGCAGAAATGTAGGGTCAAGGGCTTGTATTTTTAAAATTTTTTAATTAGTAGTTAAAGATGGGTACACCCACTTCCTTTTTCTGACTCACAGATGCATTCTGCTCTTTGTGACAGAGCACCTTCTCAGATGTGCCCCTGGGAACCGGTATGTACTATACCCACAGCAAGATCAAACCAAGCCTGCTCTTCCCAAAAAAATACCCCTTTTGGTTTCAGCCCAGGGAGGTCCAGGTCTTCATGCTCCTGTGGATGACACTACTGACCCTGGGTAAGTACGATGGCTCAACACGGGCTCTGGGTGGGTAGGTAGGTGGGGGCGGTTAGGACAGCTTCTCTCTCTGCCACAAGTCTGGCCCTTTCTGAGGCTTTTTCTTGAGATCCAGCCCTGCCCACATTGAGAAGATGTATTTTCGGGCTTTCCTGCAGAGCTCAGGGGGTGCTCTCTTGAGCCTAAGGGAAATAGTCACAGCTGGAAAAATCCTTCAACCTTACAGAGATGGAAACCATAGTGACCACAACAACTAAAGTTTTGTTCATTTATTTTGTTCAACAAACACTTCATGAAGTCCAGGAAATGTGCCTTATTCAGAGACAAGCCCACTCTCCTTTCTGCAAAGGAGATGCATTTATGCCTCATATTCTAGTCCTGGGCAGGAGGAACCAAGAAGTTTGATCTTCCTTCTGTACTCAGACAAGAACTACAGCAGTGACTGGAAGATTAAGATCATGGGATGGGGTAGACACAGAGACACAGCAGGATATGGCAAGGAAAAGGCCAAGGTAGATGACATTTTCACTGTGTCTGCGGGCATGCCTAAGTACCTACCAATGCATACCTACAAACTGGCTGGTTTTTACCAAGATCTAAATATCAGAATTTAATATGTTTATGCATTTGTCAGGCAAACATTTTTAGTGCTATCTGTGCACACCACACTGTACCAGGTGCTGAGAATGAAGGGGGTCCATGGAGGACATTATGTTTGTCTTCAGGAAGTTCATAATATAGAAGGGCTCCCAGCAAGGCTCATGTACAAGAAACAGCTAGATACCAAGATTCCAGTTAAATAACTGTCCAGACAGAGTTAGCAGTGGATGGTGCAGGCAGATAGTAAACCATATGCCAAATGATGGAAAAGACTTTATGAAACTTAGGAGTAGGAGCTGGAGGGACGGGCATAGGGGTGAGGTCCCAGAGAAGAGGCACCACAGATGGAAGGCGCGTGGACTGTCATTTCAGGGATAAGAAGTTCATCCCACTGTGGTCCCAATAGAGGAGCAAGATAGAGGGTGGCCCAGAGAGTACCCGAAGGGTCAAGCAGGTTCAAAATGTCATCCCTGTCCCTACCCAACTACTTAACCAGTGTTCTGGCTATGAAATAGGGCTAATCCTACACTCACCTGCCTAGGGCTATTGACAAGATCACATGAATAACATGTGTAAATGCCTACCACTAGAAACACTCAGAAGAATGTTAGCTCCATTTAATACAATACAATAGCCAAGGAGGCCAAGATATTCAGGTGGGGGTGAGTAATCCATTGTTCTCAAGAACACAGTTAGGTTTGGACAACTCCTCCATCAACCCCATGTACACAGACAGGGGTGATGTGCCACTTGCTCACTGCCAGATGTCAGCTGCCTTGCACCGGCACACAGCTGGCATTCCACACATCTCTGTTGAATGAATAAATCAAATCTGTTCCTTAGATGGAATATGTACTCAGTTTATAAACCTGCCAATGTTGCCTCATCACTCTCATTACTCATTTCTCAAACCTATATCTTTCTATCTTTACTATTATTAACCTAGCTCTTAATTAATTCACTGTTCAACAAATGAATAAAAATGAATGGAATATCTCTTGTATGCCTGGCACTGCTCTAGGTCCTGGAAGGTATCTGGTGAGTATAAGAGCAGTCTCGGTTCTCATAGGGATTGTGTTCTAGACAGGAGAAAGGAAGCAGGCAAACAAACAAATGATGCAATTAATAGTTTTGGACAAATACCCTGAGGGAGATTAAACATCACCACCTTGGACCCACCTTCTAATCAGCCTATTGGTTTCACACCTGGGTGTGGCATGCCAACACTAGAGAAAAACCTCTTGAGTGCGAGGACAGAGAGTTAACCTAAGTGGAAAGGTGGGAAATAAAGAAGAGGGACACACCCAAGAACAAAACACACACGAGACGAGAGATAGGACGGTGTCAGGAGGACTGATGCAGCTGATGGCTGCAGCCAACACCTGAACCGTGGAAACAGCCTTATACAATATCTTAACAAGGTTGCATACATCTTAACACATGGGGTAGAGATCATCCTTTTTTTTTTTTTAATTGAATGGTAACTATGTACATTAATGCACTTCTGGGGTACAGTGTGGGGTTTTCACACACAATCCGAAACACTTCCATCAAACTGGTTAACATAGCCCTCATGTCATTTTCTTAGTTATTGTTTTAAAATGTTCCCATTCTAATCTTAGAAAGATTCACTTGTACCCTTGTAAGATAAACCTCTGAAGTGATTCCTCCAATCCCCCTCTCTCCACCCATTCCCCCCTCCATTCTTCCTCCCCCTTCCCCATATTCTAAGGCTGTTATTAGGTTATAGCTTTCATATAAAAGGTGTAAATTAGTTTCATAATAGGGGTGTGTACATTGGATACTTTTTC